AGAGAGATACTTGCTGGATTAAAAAAATAACATGAGGAAAAAAATGACCAAAATTCTGCTGCTCCTCGTATTAAAGGCTGGGAATACACTACAACACTGAATGATTCACCCCAGATACTGACTAAATGATGATAAGATAATACAGAATGATTGTATAATTTCCGCCATTGTTTGTTGTTCACAGTGTTGCAAAAAAAACATTATTTCTACTACTTAGTTTATTTACTACCTAAATAAAGTGATGTATTAAAAATGACAAATTTTGTGGTTTGAATTACAAAATATTTAATCCTTTAAATCAATTAGATGTTCTAATCTACAGTATTTTGTTTTTCCAAAGAACCATCTAGTTATACTTTAAGACTGTGTTCTGAAACTACATGCCAAACATAGAGGAATGGATAAATGGGTAGTTCACAATAAAGAATTGAAATAAAAATTGTTTTCCATATCTATTTGCTTATTCTTATTCAGGCATGGAAAATACTCACATTCCAGAATTGTTCACACTTCTATATGAAGTCTGTATTTTTGTCAATGAAAAAAAAATCTAAATAAAGCAAACAGAGTTTAAATAAACTTTCGACAATTTTTGCATTAGAGTCACTTTATGAAATTACATGAAAAGCACAGTGAGATGTCTGTACGTTTTCTTGAGAAGCAATGTATAGCTGCTTGTCCACCCTCCGCAAGCTTTAGTTTGTTTTAGGATTTGAGTAGGAGTTGTTCTTGTTGAATCCGATGAATAGGTGTTTGTGCAAAGCTGTGTGGGAAGGGCCAATATAGGTTGGCCTTTTTACCTCTGCAACCCCATCAGCTGGTAATTGACACCATATGTCAAACAGACAGAGAACTCCATAATATGAACCTCTTATTTTAGCGCTCGGCCTCTTGTATAGTCATGTAGGAACAACACATTCAAGTTGGAAATATCAGCAGAATCATTTTAAATAAGAAAACAAAAGCTAAAAGAAATGGCATCAAAATGAGATGAAATAACTACAACTTACCATTAAACTTGCCATCTTAGTATTTACAGAAAGCTGAGAAAACAATCTGTAGATTTCGTAGAAGTTCACTTTGTAGAATCAGAGCTTTCTTAGTTTATAAACTGCAGGATTTATTTACCCAGATAAGTGAAACGATCACATCCCCCGGGATGTTATGTAGAGCATAAATGTCAAACTCATTTACACCACGCACTGAACTCTGTTGTCACAGATTTTGTTCATTGCTATTACGAGCAGGTTTTTCTGGATCCAACAGCATGATACAATTGTGGATTAAATGTGAAAATATATCCACATAAAGATGTCTGCTGATGTCTAAATGTGGTTGAATTGTGGTTTGGGTTGATCAAATGGAACAGCGTGACTTTCGAAGTCTGTTTGAATGTCATGCTTCGTCGCTGAAAGAAATTACAAGTTTTAACCAATTTTTCTGAACTGGCCAACCAGTACAGAGAAAACAAAACAAACAAAAACAAAAAAACAACATATCCATAGATACAGAGTGCTTGGATTTTTTTTTTTTATGGTAGGGTTAAATATGTCATATTGCAAGGCCATATCCTGTGCACCACCATATCAGATTCAGATCTGGGCTCTACATGGGCTTTTCCAACACTTCCTCTAATAAGTCATTCTTTTGTTAGCTTTGATGTAGTTTTGGGTCGTAGTGATACTGAAAGAAGTTGTACTCCAGTTTTCTTTCACAAGCCTCAAGGTTTTATGTCAACATTCACTGGTATTTGGAGGAAGTTATTTCAATCAGCTTCCAGAAAAGTAACTCTTTTCTGCATACTTGACACCCTCTGTGGAAATTTTTGAATCATTTTACAAATTCAGATCACTTTTTGTTGCATTATGCAGTTAAAGTACCGACTTCTCACAGCAACTCCACTTAACCCTCTCATTTTACCACTTTCCCATTGTAATTGATTGTATGTCTGCTTTGCCAGCAAGCATTCCTGAATTCTCTAAAATAAAACATGATTGGTTTGGCTTCTCTCTCAGCTAGGGCTGGGGAGATCTCAGGATGTTCATTATCACACCTCAGAGGCTGCTCCTTTTGTTCTTGAAGGCCAGATGAGATGAGAGGATGCTGACCTTTTCTATCCTTTCATGTATTTCAGCACACGAGGAGAAATTTGTCTTTTTTTACCAATAAAGCTTTACAGGAGTGATAACAACTAACTCCCTCTGCGCTTAGTTTTCAACTAACATATGGAAGTGAGTTTATATACATTGCACCTAGTGTGAGACTGCCCTAGTATTTCAGAAATGTAGAACATCTTTCCTGACATACTTTTCTAAAGGAATTAAAAAAAAAAATGCTCTGGAGAGCACCCACCCTCACATGTGGCTCCCTCTTCTTGTAGGCGGACAGATGGTCACTTTCAGATTTAGAGTTCAACAGATTGTTGTAGGTGTGAATTATGTAATCTCTTCAAGCTAATCACTTTCATTTGCTCCTTAAGGTGTTTGTGTACTAAAAAAAATAAAAATAAATGCACTGCCTAACTGCTTTGCTTTTTTGTTGTTGTTTTTTTAACTGGCTAAACATTAAAAATGTCAAAAAAACAGTAGGGGTGCAAGGTGCACATGGTAATCAGGTTCACCAGTGTTCACTGTTTCCTTTTTAGTTGTAACCTTGAGAAATGTGGAATAACTACTTAAGTGTGTAACTTTTCCTCTTTTTCTTTAATAAAAGATCAACAACTTTAGACAGTGCACACATTGTCTGCCTGGGAGAAGTTTCTACTCCACTCTAACACATGCTTTGGAATCTGGGAATGGAAAGGAAACTCTTCATACTCCCACTTCCTCTGCTGTCATTTAACTCTGGAATGATAGTATTATAATGTATGGACATTTAAAATTGGTTATCAAACTAATTTCTTTATATGTGGCACTCTTTTTATTCACTCCTAGACGACTGAAACTGAATACTCTCAAAAAGAGTTTCTTCCTATGATATGCAGTGAACATGGACTCTATTAGGTGAAACTATTAGTTCTTGAGAAATTCTATAAGTTCTTAGTGCGTCATACACTTTTGTCCCTTTGCATTTTTTTAATCCAAACCAATACTAACACTTGGTAATTTAACGATGCAATTACTGCTTCTCCCATTTAGATGTTTCGCATCATTGGACAAATGTTAAGATAGGACAAAAATAACCTGAGTAAATGCTAAACATAGTTTTTAGATTATGATTTTATTTATTAAGCGAACAAAACCTATTCAAATCACCCAAGATCCATTTGAAAATATATTGGCCTCCCTTGTGAAAGGATGAATTAACTGTGATCAGCTGCATTTTCTGGTCGATTTCATGTCTACCCTACAGAATCAAGAAGTCAGCAAAAAATATTGTTAGAAAACATGCATTAGACTATATTATCAAAAACAAAGTAATTTTAACAGGTGAAAAGCAAAATATCGATTACTTTGAAGTGAAGGTGAGTGCCCTAATACTTGTGGCATAAATTCAGTGCAGATGTGGCATGATCTTAAATGAATGTTTATGCTTGCAGTACTCACTTCTCAGAGGAATTTAGACCAATTAATCCATCGTGAATAAGTTAGGATTGTACTCGGTGAGTAACCCACACATGCTGAACTTCCCAAGGCTGAGATTCAAACCCAGGATTTGTTTGCTGCCAAGCAGCATTGCTAACAACTGCTCCACTGTGCAGCCTTTTTTTTTTCCTGCTGAGTAACAAAGCCAGTAAGTCGTCTGGCCTTTTAATATCTATGTTCTAACACAAAGAGGGATGAGGGACCCTTTAACTCTAGGCCTCAGATTTCTCAAGGCTTCAATCAGTATGAAAAAAAGGAACGTGTCACTGACTCAACAAACTAATGAAGACTTGCCTTCAGCTTCCAACAACCTGTAATCAAAGAGCAGCCCACTTGCTGACCTTGCTTTTTTTCAAGTTGCCATGTATGCAATTCAGTGAAGCCTCAGAGAATTACAAAGAGAATTCTCTGAGGCTTCAGAGAATATTCATTAAGAATATTCATTGTTGCATTTTGTTTCAGGAAAGAGATTTTTTGATATTTGTTTTATGCTTTCAGACTTTATAGATTTTATTCAGTCTTGAGTTTGAAGGATTTTTCCCTCACCTGTCTAGGCTCTGGTCTAGTCACATTAAAGTGTTATTATCTTGTCTTTTAAATAACAATCAAGGGAATTATTGGAGCATCATGTACTTTGGATAATTGCACTGTTGTGCTGCTGATCATAGGGTTATAAAGTGAAAATTTTGATTAGCATTTATGCCAAGAGTGTTCTTGTATCTATGCTTATTTTAAAACACTGCAGTATTATGAACAGTGGTTTGTTCTGCTGGTTACCTTGTCTGTTTGCTGACTATTTTATTAGAGAGCTTATATTTTGAGCAATCTATTTACTCTTTTTACTACAAATTTCATTCTGCTTTCAAATGTTTGGCCTGTTGTTTCAATAGTAAGTCACAAATATTTTTTATGTTTTGTTTTTTCTGTTCAATGAATTCCCTTTGGTCCATAATGTTCATTTGAGAGTCCTGTTCACTTTTATTCCAAAATAGACAAATAAATTACCTATATGTTGCTACTTGACGCACTGTGGAAATTTTTTTTATTGAAACCTGCAAAGTTGATGAAAGAGAAATGGCCTTGTTTGAGCTTCTTGTTAAAATACTTTTAACAAGAAAACATGATTAGTATTAAAGGATGAAAGTGTTTATGTTGTCATAAGACTAGCAAAGGACAAGTTGTTTATTTAAATAAAACCAGTGTGGGTCACCCTCTTTTTTTGTATCTCAAGTAAATATTTCCAAAACATTTTGTAGGTCAAGTATGTTTTGCTCGACACAGGCCCTTCAGTTGAGCTCTTGGCTTTAATTTCACTACATTGTGCTCTCAATAAACTCATACAGAAGTATGTACAACCACTAATATATAAACAGTGCTTCACTGTCTTTTTTATTTATTTATTTTTTATTTTTTTAGATCAAACCTGAGAAGACAGAAAATGAGTGTAAGCAGCAGCTGCTCAGGAGCCTGCAGTTCCTGGAGCGCTACATTTACCTCATCCTCTTTAACACATACCTGCATCTGGAGAAGAAGGACTCCTGGCATCGCTCCTTCTCCGTCTGGATGGAACAGGTAAATAAGCCTTTGACAGCAAACTTTCATTTGCTGGATTTGTGTGGATAAAAAAAGACATACATTATCCTAGTTTGCAATAGTAGAGCATAATGGCTCTTTTATTTTATCCAAGATTTTTGATAACATATTGCAGTAGTCAGCATCAACATCAGTAGATGTTTTATGCTTGGAATGATGAGAGAATGGTTTTACAAGCAGACAAAATTACGTTCAACACGATTAAAATTTTTCTTGGGGTCAAAGAAACACTTCTATTATTCATGGTGAGACTGGCTGTAGAAACATGCCCTTGAAGCCCTGGAACTCTTTAAAATTGCCCAGCAGAAGTCTTCCTCTGTTTTTTCTTTTTCCTTTTCTTCTTAAAAGATGGATTAAAAAGGCAGAAATCCAAAATAGAATGGAATGACTGCTGTGAAAACAATTGCCACTGAAATATGCACAGTCATTCATGGCATTTTCTTCCTGTTATGAATAGCAAATATATGTGGTGCATCAGGGTGGCTGTAATTGCCCAGTTATGCCATGAAAAGAATGCAGGGTTTTGTGCAGCGAGGATGAATATTCTGCTTGGAAAACCAGTTACTATAATAATTTCAAAAATCATCCTCAGAACATGAATCTGAAAACCTTTCATTTTCGCAGTTGTTTCTACTTTCATGTGAATAAAGACAAAAGTAATACACCGCTTTGAGTGGTGTGTGAGTATCTGCACTGCTGCTTTAACAAAAGATAAACTAAAAATTCATTATTTGCAGCTGTTGACTGGGAATAAAATATTGTATAGTGCCGTATAAAATAATTTCCTCTCACTGTTAAACATTTTCTGTCAGTGGGCTTTTGATTTTTTTAGTGCAGTATCTATCCAGTGAACCTACTATCAGTCTGCAGAACATCTTTGCAAAACCTGTGATCAGGAGGTGAAAGACCATCTGAAACGAGTTTGCAATTTTAGTAGTCTGACATCAGTTTCAGAATAACCATTTTGTAAGGAAGAGGCATTTTTAGAACAAGATAAAGGTGTACATAACTCCATAATAACAGCCTAAAGATCTGATGTATATTTGACGCTTTTGTCATTGAGTATAGGAAGCCACGTAAATGCTGAAGAAAACTTTGAACACCTCAGATTGAAACCCATAGAGACTATTTAAAAACCTTTTATGACTTAAATAGTGGCCTCAGCTTGCTGTTCAGAAGAACTGTTGCATTACTTAAATCTAATTTTTATGATGGCTGGTCACTCTGCAGCATAATTATCATTACAGATGTACAAATTGTCTCTTTTTCAACAATGGAGAAAATATTAACTTGCAGAACTTTGATGACTTCTGACTTCACCTGTTTTCAACTCTGTACTCTGAGCTACTTAAACATTCATTGTGCATGTATTAACAGGAAATGATGCAGAGATTACACTTAAAAGTCATCTTTTCTTTTGAGTTGTTTTATGCTGATCTAAATGACAAAAATAAACACCATTAAGGATTTATTGCAATAATGTTTTGTTTTATAAGTACATAAAGTAACCCTGAATTTTAATTTGAATGCAAATCAAGTTAAAATCCTTTCCTATTTCAGTTTTTCTCCAGAATAACTCATTTTTATTTTTACTGCCTGCACTTTATACTTGCGTTGGCTTTAAAAAGGATTGTCCAAGCACTAATGTGCTTAATCTGATTTAAAGTTCACCTGTGCCAAAAAGGTTTGATGAATTTGATCTTTCAATGTTTTCTATTGAAGCAAAAGAGCTCTTTTGAATGCACAAAATAACCCATATCGTGACAGTTTTGATTCGATGAAATGTCATGAGTAAAACTTTCCCTCTGAAACTCTGTTGCATCAGAGAAGAACAACACTTTGCTAACTTTAAGCTTCACTTTACTCTAAATATAATATGATGCAGTTCCCATGGTTTTCTACATCAGTTTCTGATTGGTTGAGCAACTTTGTCTGGACAAAAGTGTAAGTGTGGATAGAAAAGCTGTCCTATGTCCAAATAAAAAATAAAAAAGTATAGTAGCCAAATTTGACCACGTGAACACATCGGTGAGATAGATTATTTTAATAAATATTATTTCAAAAAATGTAAGAATTGTCAAAGGGACACTGTTTTCTGGGCACATAGTACCTTTGTATGGCACAATCAAGCTATTATGTTAACTGTAGTTATTTGCTGAAACTGTTTGATACAAAATAGATTTTTGATTGTACTTGCAGTCTCTGACTTAGTAAGGCATAAAGCACAGATGTCCCTACTTTTCCAATGTTATTAAATGAAATCAAATTTTTAAACTGTAGATATTTGAACCAATATGTCTGCACACATTTGGACTGACATGCAGCTTTGATTTGACTGTCAGTATAAAGAACACTATCCTGACAAACAACATCTGTATTCTGATGCCTTTAGTGGCCCAGTTGCAGCACTCTGGCAGCCACCCAATTATTCTGACCCAGCCAACCCTGCGGCGCAATCACTAGCCTATCATCAGTGACCGTGGCTGGATCTGTAATGACAAACGGCCAACGCTGAGGGCAGCGGTCGCGGGTCGTCTCCACCGCTGGTCATGTTTTTTGGAGCCGTGGTTACACAACCTCTCAGGTCTGAACTGGCACAGTCTGTCCTTCGCTCTACATTGGCTGTGCTGTACATGTGGGATCTAATTTGATTTTTGTGTCCACTAAAAGCAGGAGTGCAGGGTTTCCAATCATGACAGGTGATACTAGGTTAGTGATGTACTTGGCTATTTTTGTTTTGCTCAGAACATGTAAGAATCTAATACCGGAAACGCAACCAAACCTTACAATCAGTCACATTAGATATAAAAATACACTGAAACTATTGAATGTAGCTTTTTTATTTTTTACTTTGTGTTATTAGCAGCAACAAGATGTACATTAGTCTTGAAAGATTGAACGTACTTATGCATATCCCCCAAATATGTTGGGGATAAATAGTTCTACATTTACCCCTGCTTTTTAAAATGACATGGAAGAGCTAAAAGTGCCAGTACATCATCAGTCCTTAACGTAGAATCAGAGGAAAAATTTCTTGAAAGTTATAGATATTAAAATCCATGTTTGCTAATCCAGAATGTTGGCTTTAGCACAATAGAGGGACCTGTGTACAGTGCATACCTTAGATGCCTGCATGAGGGTAACCTATCAGTCATTCCAGCTGTTTTGATGTGTGCCACAGAGGCTTCACTGTAACCTTTGCGCCGACCTGGTATGTGCCGCCTTTGAGATCGCTGAGTGTGGGAAAGGCCGGTGCCTCCCTACCTCTCCTACCTTTCAATCCAACACCACAGCCCTGCGTCATGAGTATTGGCGTTAGTGATTGTTGCATTGCAGCACAAAAGTCCTCAATCCGACTGCTTTGCTTACTGTCAATGCAACAAGGTCGTTACCAGAAGCCGATGATTTCAAAACTATTTTACAAATGCAAAGCATTAGGGGGTGATGTTTGTTTTTTGTTATGTTGCAGTGAGCTGGCACAGTATGCTTAATTTTTTAGGCTACATGTATTCAGGCCTCAGCTTTTTATAAACCAAATCATCATGAAGAGCATCCATGTGAGCTTTCAAAATGTCCATTATATTTATAGTTTAAAAATAAACAGAACTCACAAAATAAACAATCAGAAAATAACATCCCAAAATCACTTCTGGAAAAAGTAACTCAGTGGGATGCAGCCCTACTTTCTGGGTAACAGCATCTACATTTAGCTCCTTCAATTTTGCCATTACCATTAACTTTCTACAAACATCTCAAAAGCTCAATGCTTACTCTACCATAATATTACTTTGCAAGGTTGATGTCCAGTGTTTGGTTTCTGCCACACAACTTTTTGCATGTTTCATTTTTCACTCATTTGAGCAGAGCACTGTCTGTCTCCTTAACCATTAGCTAATTCCATTGAAGAACATTGATGCCAGCAGGATGCAACATGTCAAAATATGGAAAGGATGAATCCTTTTGGAATGCACTATTGGATTACTAAGCCATTGCTTTTTATTGTGTTTTGGAAGTGATTGTTTTATTCTGGCCTTATTTACTCTGTTGGCATCACAATTAGTTTTGCAGTAAAATATCAGGTTAAACTGACGAGAATAGTTATTTTCCAAGAGGGAGTAAACCTTTCCTGCCTGATTATCTGGCACAAAGCATGCACAAAACATATTTTTTCAAACTGGGTAGTCTTCTTCACAATCCTTCAGTGGATGTCAGCACACTCTGCACTGATTCAGCTCTCTGGAGCCCGTCCAACATCCTCCTTTTTTCTGGCCTCTTCCTCACAAATTATCCTCCCCGTCTTCTGATTTTCACACATCCATTATTTAGACAGCCTGAATGCGGAGGAGATGAGTCAGGTTGCCCTGGTGAACAGCAAAACCGCTGCGTCTCAAAGGAATCACATCAACTGACTAATAGTTCAGCTGCACCAAATCATCAAAAAGCTTGTTAAACAGAGATGTCAGCTTTCCAGGAGAACATCACATGGAAGCATAGATGTCACAACAAGGAATGCTGCTGAATGGATGACTTATAAACAGTTGCTATAAAGATTAAAAAGAGAACTGTGTGTAAAACCCTTCATTCCTTCTTTTCTTTCAAGAGAGTAACAAAAAGATTGCAACTAACTCGACCTCTTTTGTGACAAAATATAAAGACGAGGCACAGTACTGTATTTTGCCTGCCTGTCCAAAATTTGCAGGCTCAAATGAACAGGGAAAAGTTAACTTGGAAGAGTTTCGGCCACTTTACCTCCAGAATGTCTTCATTCAATTCTGACTCCATACTGAAACTATAAAATATACAAAGTAAAACTTGTAACAATATCTTACTTGCCCATGCATGTTGTTTTCCTATTTTAGTTATTGAATGCTGAATCTTCTGCTGCAGGGTAAACTTGGCAAGCTGAATCTCTTCTAATGAACCGTTCAACTTTTAAAGATGCTTCCAGGGAAGTCTGGAACTGTTGGGTCTTGGACAGATTTGTTGGGATTGTTGGGCTTTATATTGCCAGATGTTTCTGGTTGGTGCTTCCCATTAATCGCAAGGTGTTTGACATCCACAGTAAACCATGATGCAGTGTGACTAGTGGACTAACATGAACAGTGAACTCTCTACAGCACACTCTCCTGTAGATAAAAACTCACAACTTACTGTAAATTTAATCTACATTTTTCAGCTTAAATAACAAAATTGTAAGAAGTACCCTCATCTGCATCTCTGAACATAATTTAAAGTCTTGCCAGAAGCCGAGACTTCTAATATGTTAATTAGAACAGAGTCTGCGTAAAGTCCCAACATAATGCTGCCACTACCATGTCTCACCAGTGGGTTGCCGTTCTCAGTGTTATATTTTTTCTACTGGCATGCTTGTAAATTCTTTACAGGGGTGAATGCTAAAATTTCTAATTATGAAGAGCATCATCTTCTGTGTGTTTTCTGTGCCACTTAGATGACTTGTAGCAAACTGCAAACAGAATTCTATACGGCTTTAGTTTTGCTAGACATAGAAGATTTTGTTGTTCTACGTCTCTTTAACTGTTGATCAATTGCTAGGCTAAAAACTGCCACCTTTGTGTCTTTGTCTCTCAATAAACACCTCAAGAGTAACAACAGACATGCAGACAGATTTCTGACTTGTTTTCTCCTGCTGCTTATAGGTCTCATAGACAGAATCACAGATTTTTTTTCTTGCCTCATCCTATCGCTTCTGACAACAGTCGCCTATTATTTCAGTGTAACAGCTACACTTGTAAGACACCAGCTGATAAAACGCTTTTGTGTTGCAATAGTGTTTTTGTTTCATTTTTAAAAGAGGGAGAAAAGGAAAGATTTCCTGACTTTCCCCTCCCCTTTTGTCATTAATTTTTGTTTTGTTTTTTATTTGTGGTAGGTGGCTGCCAGAGCTGGAGTTTATGACATCCTCAACCAGCTGGGTTTTTCAGAGTTTGAAGACCCAAGGGAGACGCCGCTGGCCAGGCTGCGCTACCGCTGGCAGCAGCAGAACATTCAGTCACTTCCTTTCCGAGGGGAATTCATCTGAAGGATGATTCCTCTGAATGCACCGCTTTCACAATGAGAGACACTTACAGTAACCCTGTTCTGCCTTTATAATTAACCCCTGTGTCGTGAATGAGATCAGGTCTTATTTCGATTGTTTTATTGTTGATCATCCTAACAGCTCCTTTTAGCCTTTACCTTTATTTTATAATCTTCTCCTTTAGGTGCCTTCTTTAAATCAATTGTTAACTAATATAGATTTTTTTTTTCTGATTGCAGATTTTTTTAGTCCTTTTTTGCATCTGAATTTTTGCATCTAGTTTGAGGGGAAAAAAGAAAAAAAATGTTTTGAAGGAGAGAAACAAATTCCAGTGTGTGACCGAACAATTATGGCTGCATGTCACAACTGTTTGCTGTTGTGTGATCTGATATCTTTTTTTTAAGCGTTGTCCTTTTCAAAGTTTCTTTTTTTTAATTCATGGTGTACATATGATGGCAGTTATTTAAGTTCTAATGCGTCCATGAGCTTATCTAAGAGTAAATGGTTTTCAACAGTTTCACATTATTATTTTTTCACCTTTATGATAATTGCCACACTGTGTCCCTTCGTTGCATCTGGATTGTTTGTTTTTTTTCGCCATAAGTGTCCAGATGCAGGTACTGACATGTCAATAATTTTTATGTTAGATTGACTTTGAAGGTGTTTGTCTTTCAAACGATAGAGAAGTGGTCTTTCAATTAAATTTTCTTCTTTTTTACAGTTCTGTAATTATAACAGCTTGGCATGGTTCACAGCACAATAAGATATTTTTTTCATATAATTTGGTTCCTTAAACCTAATGGACTCTCATCTTTTCAAGGACCCTGTTTTAAATGCCTCCAGTTTTCAGAAGCCTTGAGTTGTTCGGCCTCAGGTTTGTGGATTGTGCCTGCAACTTGCGACTGTTAGGTTTTGGAAATAGACCTAAATATTTTAATATGAGTACTTAGATGCCTTTGAAACCAAATAATTCATCATAAATGTCATTCACTCGACTGGAGACGAATCAACACCATGTTTGGAGCCGCGTTTGCAGAATCAAGTTGCTTGTTTAAAGTAGAAATGACTCGGCTTAAAAGTGAGCAGGATATGTGCAGATCCTCCTTTCACCAGGTTGCCCCATCTTCACATCATCACTCTGTCTGCAGGAATTAAACCATACCTCAAATTATATTTATCGCTGGAAATAACCTGCTCTGGAAATATTTGGGGTAGTTCATTTTAGTAACAAGCACCAATGTTTCACTGAAGACTAGAGATGCATTGATCTGAATGGATCTGACACTCTTGGATTGTTTAAATAAACTTGGGGAGGAAAACTCAGATATTCCTCCCCCCAGTGACAGCAGTCATGGGAATCCCAAGATGTTTTTAGGCCAGAAAGGACATATAACTCCCCTCAGGAGGTTCAGGATCTGCCCTGGAGTCCAAATGTGATTTCTTTCAAAGTAGAGAAGTAGCCTTATCTCTAAGGCTGGAAGTGATCAAAAAGTTTATTTTAGTCACTTGTATCCTAAATCTCTTTGATTTGGTCATGAGCCAAGTTCTATGACACACAAGTCGGGGTTGAACCAGACTAAGCAGAGAAACAATAGCTTCACATTTTGACCCCAATGAGTGTACATACAAATGTTACATCACTGAAAGAGACAAAAAAAATACAGAAAAAAATTGAGTCAGAGACCAACGCCTGACCTAGAAGCAATCCCCCTTCTTGCATTTTAAAACTATTGCTTGGACTTTAAAGAGGTAATTTCTGTCCCCGTTGGCTCATACTTTGTTACAAACTTCTAAAAGTGCATACTTGAGATCATGGCCTGGAGATGCCAAGAAACCCACATGATCTGCAAAACCTAAACGTGTCATCTGCGGTTCCTAAACCAGACTCTCTACTCTTCATGACTAGAGTGACCTGTCTAGTCTTAAGGTCCATAGAGACCAGGTGGAATCAGCAGAATCCAACCAGCAATGAGAATAAGTTCAACCCACCACTTGATTTAGTTGTGTGAGGGCTAAATCACACAACCCAACTGCTTAATTCTGCTCTCATCGAAATGCTTTGATATGATCATATGCTTTCTCTATACATTTGGTACAGTTGCTGTAAAAAATGTTTTACTATTTCAAAACAAAGACAATGTTTACATATTTTAGCATTATACAAGATTTTACTATGCTAACAATTGCCTCCTTCAAACCCGCAGCTGTCATTACAGTAACAGCTGTCTCGATGTAGATCCTAACCTTGACTGAGATTTCCAAATTTGCCAAATCCTTGAAAATCATAAGAACAAAATAGAGCAAATTTCCTGGACTCCATTCAGTGTTTATGTTGTTTGCTTTTCGTTTTGCACTCGCTTGCTTTCTCACAGCTTGAATAAACCGCAGATGGTTCAAGAGGTCTTGAGTTGAGGTTGAATTGTCTTCCTTCAGTAGCAGTGTCTGAAGAGTGGTGTTGCCTGACCATATCAGCAAATTTTGGTCATCAGCTGATTTCTCTGTGCATCTTAGCTACTGTTCAAGGGTATGTCTCCAATGTCTTTGCACTTATTTTAAAAAAATATAATTTGGTATTTTGTTTTTCTTCAAAGTTTGCATGCTTTAATCAAGAATCCTACCCTAAAACCAGAAAAATAAGCAAATAAAGATGTCAAAAATCCATCATAAAGAAGCCTTATGTTTCTCTGTTGATGTTTCAAATAAGCAGCATCGCTTTGGGAGGATTAGATGGAAATTCATGTGACTTAATTAGGTGGAGGTTTAACATTCTTGTGTAACTTTGTAACACAAGCATGTTTAAGTGTAAGTTTTGATAACACCTTAATATCGCATTTATAGTATTTAATGTTTTATTGTGGATATTATGTGTCCCCTATTTTTTATTGTATCTTAATTTTTTTATTTGGAAACTAAAATAAAAATACAACTTAAACTGCAAGCCTGATTTTTGGTACATTATTAGGATGGTATTGTATCAGGGTGGAATATAAAATGCTGATCTGCATTAAAGATTCGGTGTGCTGCAGTTTTAAGTGTCCCGATTCCACTAAAGCCAAAATAATTTTGCCTCTTCCCTCCTCAGCTTCTTTTCCCTTTTCCTCCTTATCTCAGCATCATCCTTTTGCACCCCATATGAAAGAAAACTTCTCGTATATCCTTGCAGCTTCCCTGACTTGTGCCGGTGCCAACCTCGCAGAGCGGAGCAGGTTATGGGGATTGAACGGCATACATTTACAAAAAAAAAAAACAACAACAAAATAACACAGATGATTCTTTGTTGGACTGAGATCTTAACATTTTCCATACACAGTAATAAAGAGCTTAGTCAGATCAAAGACTAATCTGAAAAGCCTTTTGATGTGGACAGGTAGGGTCTTAATTAAAAAAAAAGAAGAAGAAAACTAGGGTCACTTTCCAGAACGGAGGGTTGTGTGAGGATTAAAAGCCACCCGTGGTCGGCACATCAGTGAAGCTCACTTGGCTTTGCTGGCCTACTTTGAAAGACTAATATCTTAGATCACTTCCCTTCTTGTAAGAGCATAGCAGGCTTATCTTCTGGAATACGGAAGTTGTTAGGATTTCTGTCACACCGCTGCCTATCTGCTCTGGAGTGTTCTCGGTATAAACCCAGTTGCCTCAAAAGTAAATCCCACCATACAGGTTGCCACATTTCTTTCCTCTTGAAATGACCTTAACTTTGAATTAAGATAAATATACCGCAGTCTTGCAAAACAACACAAAGTATCGCATAATTGCATTGAACTACAGGAAACCTACCAAGACATGACCCATCCACCTAACCCAGTAAGCCAGGCCAGGAGAACATTAATCAGAAAAGCAGCCAGGAACTCCACAGTAAATTTGATAGAGCTGCAAAATCCACAGTACAGGTGGAAGAATCTGGCATTTCAACAACTGTCAAATATGTGGAAACGCGGCAAGAAGACCATGCAAAGCCCAGTTTCAGTTTTGCCAAAAGGGGAAACGGCAAAATCTGAAAATAATGGTGAAGCATGGAGGTGACAACATCATGCTGTGGGGACATTTTTCTTCAGCGGCAACAGGAAAAATGGTCAGAGTTAGGAAGACGGACTGGGCTTGATGATCCATAATCCAGAAAAAGTAACCATAAACACACGCAGTTACAAGTTTGCATCACAGTACATTCATGTGTTATAACGGCCTAAATCCTTTAAATCTGAAGCAAAACTTTAAAGTTGCTTTTACGACTGAGCTGGAGGTATTTTTTTTTCAGAAAGATTTGCAAATACTTCAGTCCCTAGATGGGGAAATTGAGTTCAGACATACCACAAAAGACTTGTAGCTGTAAATGCAGTGAAAGCCACCTGCGACATGCTTTTACAGTAAACGCAAATGCAGGCCACACGTTTCAGAATTTTACTTGCAAAGGATTTATAAAAAATAACTTCAGTCAGGCGCTACATTGCGTTGATCTATCACATAAAATATCAATAAAGTAGCTTGGAATTCATCGTTGTGATGTGACAAAATGTGAAAACGTTACAGAGGTATAAAATCTGATGCAAGCCACTATATGGATAAAATACACTGCAACCCTTTTGCAAAAAGCAATGTCTGTTCCTGTTTTCTCTTTACCCGCAGAGACAAATCGGTTGAAACAACCGATACGGATATGGAGAGGGCCTATTTAGTTGCAGCATGCGGCCAACTTGACTCCGGGTCAAGATAAGCCCAGGACATGAGGACCATGCTTGGATGATATAGCGGCCCCCTCGCCTTTGAAATCCCGTCCAAACTCATTGAGATACTCCCCAAAGTGAAATTCAAGCTAGTGGTTCTGAAGGATCCAGAGATTACGACGGACAAAGAGCGCCATTGAAGAGCCGAGCGGCAAAGAGGGGATGTAATGAACTTCATGTGGAAAGCTTCCCGCTGCAGATGAGAGAGCTGGTCTGGACAGGAGGCATGGCGCTGGTGTGAGGGTGCACGAGTGCATCGCCATCCGCTTTGATTGTTCTTGTGTGGATGAAGGCAGAATGACAAACACCTTGGAGACTCCAGTGTGCGCCGAGCTCTCAAAGGGATTTGATCAGTAATAAGAGCATGAAGGGAAGCGTTTAATTTTGCACGTCCAAGCCTTTTTTCTTTTTTTTTTTTCTTACCATGGGCAATAATGCACAGTCCCTGATAGGCGATGCATTACACACCTCACTGAGCAGGATAATGAAAAGTCTCCATAATAAAATGAAGAAATTGACAAATAACTTTCAAAAACTCATTTTCTGTATCATTCAGTCTTTTGGCAGACTTCCTGATTTCGCCATTTATAGGAACTAAATCAGGGTAGTGTGTTATATTGTAAGCTGGACAACACTGCAGACATAAAATGCGTTTTACAAGGACACGCTGATTACATAGTTATTAGTATTTGCACACAAAGGGTGGTTAAAGCTGTTTGGATTTATTTCAGTAACTCAACCACTTACAGAAACACTTAGAGACTAATTGCCTTAATAGAAATAAGGCATTTAAGATTAAAATATTACATCAAACCAATAACGCAATTTAAAAAAAAAAATACAGAAATGTCAGCTTAATGAATAGGACAATTAAAACCAGAAGTTTAAAAACAACAAAAAGACTCACCTTTTTTTGTGCTGACTTTTCTTGCTTTACATCAGTTAGAATTACCAAACTTATTTATTTTTATTTGCTAAAGAAAGAATTCTTGATGTATTCAAAATCAGAACTTAGTCTTTGGTTGCATTGCCTTTGAACTGATTTGGGTCAAATCTTCCACAAGCTTCTCCCAGTAGTGTGGTGGCGTCCTGGCCTTTGACTCCAGGCCAGGACGCCTGGAGTGGAACTGGGCGTGATTTTGCCCAAACATGTCTTTTCATATTTGCCCATGAATTCTCCTTAGAAGTGAGCTCAAGGCTTTGTACTGTCCACACCAAAACATTGAGTGTGTTGCCACTCTAAACCACTTTGACTCAGAGTGATTGCATTGGAAAACCCATTTGCTTTAGAGCTTTAACTACCAGGCTGATGTCCCTAGTTGTTGCTTCAATATTTCTGACTATTTTCTCTCTATTGATGTTTTGTTAAGATGCTCCTTCAGTAAATATCCCCACAAAATATTGCTGCTACCACCATGCTTCACAGCTGGAATGGTGTTACTCACACCAGACCTCCCTCCAAATGTAACAATGGTCTTTAGTCAAAGTTCCATTTTAGTTTCTGAATCCCAAAACCAACTCTAAAAAGGTCAAAATTTTCAGAAAGACGACATTATGTAGATGAGAATTGCATTGAGAGAAAATGCAGCTTTTTTTTATTTTTATCTTTTTTTGTTTGTTAATAAATGCTCAGTTTTCACAGTGGTTTTGTAGGAGTTGAAAAAATACACTCAAAAAGTCCACTATTATACATTCCTCTGTTTTAAATGGATACACACTGAAATGCTTCTGCAGCACAAAGCACTGCAAGGCAATTCGTACTTTATTCAGCGTAACAACTGTTAAGCTTCAAATCCCTCCACTCCCTCTCTGCAGACAGACCTCTCAAACTTCTGGGCAAAGCTGCAGCTGCTTTGCATCTTCTGCATCTCGGAGAAGAAAAATAGCATATTTTCACAGCTCGCTGGCATGGCTAGACAGAATTACAGCACATGCTAAGGCATCCAGAGTTTGCATAGATTCCCTCTGTACTGCAACTTCTCCCTGTGGCTGAAAACACTTGGAAAAAGTTTAAGTCTTTACAGCTATGGATCAGTTATTCAGGGTTTTGGAGGAGAGACCAACCAGACAGAATGTTTTTGTTCTATTTCTTATTCGCTGATTCACAATTCTAAAGGAATTTCTGAATATCTCAGTGAATTTTTCTGTTGAAAAACTTGCCATATAGGTTCAGTTCAAGTTAAAAGTGCACCAATGTTTCACTCTTATGTTATAAAGGACAGAGTGTTCTGTTGTAGAAAATTGTACTTGTGTGTGGACGTAACCACAGGCTGTGAGTGGAGCTATTCATTTCTGAAGGGGAAAAAACAGGGCTTCTAACTGAATACTATGCTATATTGTGGAATGTGTTCCTGGCTTTTAGACACACATGAAGAAAGAAAAAAAACTTCTAAACATTATGGATGGAAAAACAGCATAAAGCATCTCACAAGGCAGTTAATGGTTTCCATCTCCTAATACTGTGGTTAGTTTCCACTGCTTATTAATGCACAGCTCTGGATCACCATCCAATCCTCTCTCAGTTGCCCCAAGGGGATGACTACAGAATATCCCCCCTCCCAACACCTGCCAAACGTTGACCATCCTGGAAGCTTTGAGCCAATTAACCAAACACTGAGAGCATTACAGGCTGCGAGCTCTTCTCTGAAGGCCAGACACACTCGAGGAACAGAAAGAAGGGGGATGGGGAGCTTGGTGTCCAGTCTAGACACCCTAATTTCTCAAGAAATAACCTAAAAGTCAAGACTCATTGCAGCCCCAACCCCCGCCTTCTGTCTCCCTTTGAGAAAGATTCCAGAGTTGTTGATTCAGGCTCAGTGCATTCATGTCTGAATCAGTCTGGACTCCAGCAGAGCATATATAAAAATAAAAATAAAAAATTATCTTTGTGGTCTTCACAGTACTGCCAAATATTACCAGGCTCTCATTTCAACATCAGATCTTTGGATCTGATGTTGGGCAAATTGAACATATGCTCAGAGTGACATCTGCAGGATTAGCTCAGATTACGAAACTAGAATGATTCGATTTGTTTTGCTGAAGCTAGTAAGATAATCAGTATGTCGAATCAGATAGCTTCCCTGTAGACTACCGATCCTATCTAATTCATAACTCTTTTTCTTGTTTTGAACAATAGAATCAGTCAAACTGCACAATACAGAACACATATCCTTTTTCCCCACGGACATTTTTTCAATTAAAAGACAAAAACTAATAATTAGAAAATAAAATTTGGGAAAACATTTCAAATGTTCTATTATCACAAAACTCGCTTATTTATCAGATAGAATATAGTCATCAGAGTGATTATTTATGAAATGTAATTTTATATTTCATCATATTAAAAAGTGAGTGTGTTTTATTCATACAAAAAAGTCAAGGGAATGTGGAAACTACAGTCTGTGCAATCAATGTATTACAAGGACACACATTTTGTCCCTTTCAGATGACTTGATGCAAAAAATACAAAGTTTGCAAATGATAATTTATTTTGTTAGAGGGCAAATTCTGAGTGAACTTATTTTTCCCAAACTTTTTTTTTTTTCTGAGCTGCAGTTTTTAACCTTTGCGTTTATTGTAAATGTTCGTCCGTGGCTTTGTAGCGTTTTGTCGTCACCGGTGCCTCAGTGTAAGGTGAAGGAATGTTGTTCCCAGATTTATTGCCATGTGATCACTAACATATGTTTGTGGACTAATGTAAACACGCTCTCTATGAGTTATTACCTTGCGTCTGGCGTCTGGACGAGCTTTTTTCGGCATTTTACTGAAGGAAAAGTAGTCCAAATTCCGTGTCTGAACATCAGCTGTGTCTCTGGCTGATTTTTTTCCCTCTCTCCCAGCATAATACGATTATATAACGTACTATTGCCTTTATGAGCTAGGGGGAAAAACGCGTGTCTCAATATGTGGCTGTGTTCAAGGGAGAATGCTCTCCCAGTGGTTGCAGTTTAGCAGTTGTGCGTTCCGGAGCCGCACCATCGGTGCGTAATTGTGCACGACTGGACGGCAGATGTTCCACCACTGGGACACTCTGTCTCTGCATCTCAACTCTACCTATTTTTTTTCTCCACCTCTTTCTCTCTCAGCGTAGGCGTGTGTTAACTCGGTGCTGTTACTGCTGAAAAAAAAAAGTTTTGAAAGAGAGGAGGAAAGAAAAGGGGAGAGGGGAAAAAGTGGGCAACAACTTCCAACCGTCCCGGTTCTTATACCGGAGAGATTGTCGTCATCAGCAGCACCCCCAGATATCTCTCCCCCACCTTCCCCCCCTCCCCCGGCTCGGTTCCCTAAATGGACGCGGCAGTTTCGGTGTGTGCAGTTCAGCGAGGGCCAACACACTGGAAGCAGCTTCAGTTTGGCGTGTAGACGGGGGAGGACGCTGAGAAATGCCCGGCTGCCTCGCTGGAGCTCAGCTCTGAGCACTTTTGCTTTTGCGTCTTGGCTCTTTTTCATTGGAGGTGGAGAGGAACTCTACTCACAAAGTTTACTACAGAAAGGAAAAGTAAAAAAAAAAAAAAAAAAAAAAAAAGAAAGAAAAAAAAGTGGCAGCTCTCACACTTTAGCCCTCGCTATGGATTGTTTATATTTATTGATGTGCTTTTCACTTTGTCAAGTATGTATGGACCATATTCTGGCTGCGGAATCAGAGGGTGAGTCTTCATTTTCACTTTGTTATTGCATTTTTTTAAATGAAAAATGTATGCAAAACCCTAAAAACTAAAAAAAGACACATTATATTGAAAATGAACAGAAGTATTGTTGAATTTTCCACTGAATGCTCTCCAGTTGGGATTCCATTCCTAAATAAGCACTTCTTATTTGACCTTTGTATTATTATTTTTTTCCATGCCACATTTTATGTGATTCTTATTTGACACCATTTGTCTCATCAGAAAAACTCTCTGGAAAGTTAAGTGAATATGGTCTTATGGTGCCATTCAGCACAGACTCCCAGGGCCAGTACATTTCTCACGTGGTTTCTGCTGGAAGTGGAAGTAAAAGTGAGGCTGCTGATGAGAATCTCTCAGCTCCTGGCAGCAGAAGAAGAATGGCCCGCAGTGCCCCCCAGACGCCCTCAGTCACCTCTAGTACGGGTCAGCACTTGTTTTTCAATGTCACCTTGTTTGGGAAAGAGCTCCACCTTCGCCTGAAGGCCAACAGGAGGCTGGTGGCGCCGGGAGCTTTCGTGGAATGGCAGGAGGACTTTAAGGAAAAGACCAAGGAGCGCATCCATCGGGACTGTGTCTTCACCGGTGATGTGACCGACATGCCAGAGGCCTCTGTGGCCATCAGCAACTGTGATGGACTGGTAAGTGTGAACCTACCAGTGAGGCTAAATACAAATTCATACTGAAAAAAATCCCTCATAATGTTGCAGAACATTGATTTTCTGAACTTCTATATGCTTTATGGCTTCTTAAAACGCATCAATTAGATGGATTTTCAGCTTTTCTGTAGATTAGTGATGAACAGAAGTTATCTTAGATCCAGTAGGCAGCAGTCAGAATGATGTCACTGTTAATAATCATGAAAGATATTCATTGTTGAATTGAGAAAAGTTCTTATGATTCATTCACACAATAACTTATATAAAAACCTATCAATGTAGTGTCGATGTAAAGGTTTTCCATGTGTTTAGATGGCCATATTGTAGTGCAGTGATCAATAGAAAATCTGAAATGAAACAGGATGTTGGTCATGTGATTTTTGTTTGGCCATATGATCGTAACGGTGATACAGCGCAGGATTGTGAGGAGTTTAACTGAAGCAGAGAAGAAACAGTGTTGAACAGATAGTATAATATATATCATTAAATATCAGTTAATGGCCATGGCAGCAAAATTAATGTCAATATTGATATCAATATTGGTCAAGTTTTTATCTTTGTACATTGTATATTCTATTCATAAAGTCACAGTTTGCACACCATGAAAATATTCAGGCTGCTGAATGAAATATTACTGACATGCCTGATCTGATGTCTGAAACCAATTTAGCTTAATAGCTCCAATCTCAAAACTTTCATATCTGTTCGTGTGAACAGCGCTTTTTAAATCTGTTGTTAATATTCACTCTTAGGAAAAAGCCAATAACTGTCTTTCTGATTTTAGTTTTTTATTTTAGCTGACTAGATATGCGATTCTGTGTTCTAAGGTTCATAAATTCACAAGTATGAACTCATCAACTCCTTATCAGAATGTTTAAAGGTGTCGCTCAGGATTTTGAAGGATCCATTTGTTAAAAGGTTGTAACTCTGATTACAGCTTCATTCAGAATAAATCCACATTTATTGGTCCTGGCTAACAGGTAGTCTGAGAGTGGCCAAGATAAAAGTGAACTTCTGCCATTTAAAAACAAATACAGTCTGAAAAATGTCGTAGTGTAGCATCAAGCTAATTTACACGGCATATGGACGAAGGAGACAATGCGCTTCAAGTGTGTGAGAAACTTGCTGACATTGGAACATGTCGAGCTTTTCTGGTCAGAGCAACCATCAAATAGGAAGGTAAGTAAAGGTTTTGCTTTGTTCACGGCTTTACTTTTATATCAAAGAGTTACAATAGCTGGATCATTTTTAATGTTCTCTTTTCAGAACAGGGCTCACAGAGGAAGATCACTGGTGGCACACTGCTTCTGTGTAAAGAAAAAAGAAGTGATGTCTCAGAGATTAGAGCTGTGTAAGGATGATAGAGGTTTGCTGTGGTCTTGGTTCCTCTTTTTTGAGCCATTAGCTTTGGGTCCACAGACAACTAATTGGGATTTATTCTAAATAAAAAGCCCAATAAAGTTGTCAGCTACAAGCTTTAGGTACATCTAAATAAATTAGAATATCTTTGAAAAGTTTGAAAAGTACGGCAGTCAAAGTAAAACTTAGGTTTAAAGTAATCTTTAGATTTGACATACAGAAATTTTGGATTGGCCAATTCAGAATCGTAACTTGGATCTGCTAGATAATCTGCGAAGGGAGTAAAAGATTATGGTGATGGAAAGGATACCATCTAACCTCAAAGACTAATCACAGCAGGTCCATTGTGAAAGTAGCAGTGGAAACATGCAAATGTAATGCCAATAAAAAATATATATATATATATCTTTTTTTTAAGAAACTCTAGGAATAAACAGATTATTTTTGCAAACAGCTCTGGTTATTATCTTTGAGATGTCCTCATAATGCAAATACAAGCCACTTAGTATTTACCGTTTTAAAAACAAACTTCAGGGCTATGAATGTTTTTATTCTTAGCTGCATATAGAATTTCTGAGCTGTCCTTTTAAATCTTTAACGCTTTGAATTTATTTGACTGTATGTTGCCAGAACAGGTGTTTGAATGTTTTTATTCTTATATTCTGTTTCCGTGGGAATTTTAGTTGCTTCTAATTGCCATCTAAACATATTTTCATTTCCTAAGAGAAGCAGAACACATTGCATCATATTGTTTTACTAAAACCTTTCACTGCATATGTTTGTAAGCTGTCAAACAAAAGCACTTCAGGTTGAAACTAGCATTGCTGGCCGAGTTGAAGAGGGAGCACATTTAGGCCTCAGCTCTCCGTCAGAGCAGCTGCAGTTGGGCACGCAATCAGCAGCTGTGTGCTGAGAAATCAATAATAACCACTTATTGAATCACGTCACAAACCCTCGCTGCTCTATAAGCTGGTAACCCAACCTGACCTTAATTGCAAATAAGGTTAAAGAAATCAAAATAATGACTAGTTCACACTGCTTTTGTTATTAGTCATTGTCATTATAGTCCTAAAAGCTAAGGGGAAAGAGACAAGTTTATTACTTTATTTAAATGTTTTCCCTTTCCTCTGAGACAAATTCTGCCTGTCTTGAATGGTAATTGCAAAAAGCATTTTTCAGTTTTAATAAACTCTTGAATGGAAAATCAGAAAACATCACAAAACACAAACTAGAGAAATCGCAAGCTGCCTTAGAGAAATGATCTCTCTCTATTGGACATATCCACCATGATTCACCAAAGGGAACAATTAACCATTAATCTGAATAATAAAAAGTCCCTTGGTTGCATCCTGAAACATCAGATATCCCCCACCCCCATCCTGCCTGTTGCCACAGTTTGATATGTCATTCTGCTCTTGCATAGCTGTTTGGTTTTCAAATGTGTGTTCGGCTGTAAGAAAACAGAGAGAGAGAAAAGCTGATCCACTGATGGACGTTTACTGCAAAACAGTCTTGTGACATTTGAACTGGCAGACTTGAGAGCAGCCAATGCTTGAGCTATCCAAAAAGCAAAACTATCTCAAAACTACTTTTGACAGAAAATTGCATGAGCCAAATCGCTGAGGAATAATAATAGATGCGCAGTTTATGTTTTTAGAAAAGTTGTGTTAGTAAAAAAGTTTCACAAATTTCAATCTCTGTTTTAAAGGCCATGTTTCATGTAAGTTAATGGAATTTAAGTTTGACCAGTTTAATTACTTCTTACTTTGGGCCGGAGATGATTCAACACAGTCAAGCGTCTCAAAAAACACATTAGAAAAACATTCATGTTAAGAGTTAATCTGTGAGTCAGATTCCAACTTCACTGTCTTCAGCCAATTGCAATAAATGGTGATATGTTCTTCCGCTGTTTATATGATGCGTCAGACATGTGGGCGGCAACAACAGAGTAAAAAGCATTGATTTAAGACTTGGTTTTAGCTCTAACATTCAGATAGCAGGATCAGAATTTGGTATAAACCACATGAAAGGATGGCTCTGTCCTGCTCACTATTAGCAGTTCAAGCTAGTGGTGGTGGTATAAGGTTATATTTACATGCATTTTGACAAGGTAGGATGAAGCAGTTTTATTGGTGCAGCACATTTTTAGAAAAAAGGGAGTTCAGAATGCTTTTTGTCCTAAAGGAGCAAAAATAAAGAAGCAAACAAGCAAAATGCATTACATTCCTTCACAAAGAGGGGAAACAAATAACAGGCAGAAAAGCAGAGTTCAAGTCACGATGTTCCAGTTATTAATCAAAGTCAGCTATACACAAATGTGTTTTTAGCCTTCATTTGAAAGAACTCTGTGTTTCAACAGTTGTGCAGTTTTTTAAGTTGTTCCAAATTAGTGGAGCATAAAAACTGGATGACAGTTCTTTGTGTTTGGTTCGGATTGGACTAGAAGACCAAACAACAGATCTTTATTTTGGTAGCAAGTCATTGAGCAATTCATAAAATAACAAAAGTATTTTAAAGTCTATTCTCTGAGCTACAGGGAACCAGTGTAAAGTCATTGAAACAGGGCTTTCCTAGTTTAAATGAGAACAGCAGCATTCAGGAGCAGCAGCAGTCTGGTTGACATTTCAGCCAGACTGTGAAGACCTTTTTGCAGAAAACAATTTGACCAAAGGTGATGACTTGAAATGGACTTTATGTGTCTCTGAAGGTTCAGATCTGAGTCCATCACAACATCCAGAAATGGGGCCTGATTGGTGGTTTCTGGCTGTAACATTGCCCTTTAGTACCAATTCTGATCCAGTCTTGAGTATTATGCCTGACTATGTCTTTATTACTCCATTATATCCATGTTGTGATTGCACCATGTCTCAAAGCTTAAACCAGCTCATGCTGGTTTCTTGAACATAACGAGATCGCTGGTAAGACTCTTAACAGTCTTACCGTGGAGACTCCAGAGGTCTTCACGTTAACTGGATCTTAATCCATCACAAGTCTTTTGGGATATACAATAATGGGGTGACATTGATGTGCAAAGGACAAATACTCACCGACTTTAAGATCCCGTCATGTCAATATCTGGAATGATATTTGAAGAATGTGTCACATGCGTTGTTGCATCTAAGCGATAAACATGGGTCAAATCTGAATTGCTATCACTCGCTATGCAATTTACTAAAGCACATCTGCTTTACTGTGTAAAGTCTGTATGCTGTCACACTCAGGGACAGCATTAATCAGTCTAATGTGTTTAATTGTTACCATAACCACTTCACTAACTTCATAGGGGGAGTTCAGCAGCTTTACAATCCTTAATATGGCTTTGTCTGCACCATCAGATCTTTAGTAACGTTGGGGATGTTGCAGAATGCAAACCAGAGAGTTTTTTATTATTCAGATTTATTGTTTCTTCACAAGCTCATCATGCATATGATGCTTGTGCTGATGGTGGTTTTAAAGGAAACCCAAAAGAGCACCCAAACCATCTGTTGTTAAATAACTTTAAATATTTCCAGACGTTAGCCTGTGAGAACTTTGTACGTTTAAAAAAAATAAAAAATTCTCAGAGTACGTATACAGACTGCTGTTAAGAATAACCCTTACACATAGCAGTTTGAAATATATCA